TCTCTCTCTTTCTCTCTCTCTCTCTTTCTCTCTCTCTCTCTCTCTCTCTCTCTCTCTCTCTCTTTCTCTCTCTCTGTGTCTCTGTGTCTCTCTCTCTCTCTCTCTCTCTCTCTCTCTCTCTCTCTCTGTGTCTCTCATTGTCTCTCTCTTTCTCTCTCTCTCTCTCTCTGTCTCAGGTGGACATGTTGAGTGAGATAAACATCGCTCCCAGGATCCTCACCAACTTCACCGGAGTGATGCCGCCGCAGTTCAAGAAAGACCTGGACTCCTACCTGAAGACCCGCTCGCCCGTCACCTTCTTGTCGGAGCTGCGCAGCAATTTGCAGGTCGGTGTCTGCAGCGTTGTGTGCACGTCTGCGGGGGGGATGGGGGTGGTTACAGTCCGAGGGGCACAGAAGATCAGTGACGGGTTATACTGCCACCTACAGGAGCATTGGACACTGGGAAACCGTCTGTAGGCCAACCCAGAAAATCTTCTCCTGTACCCAGCATGCCTCAGTGTGTGTTTCCCAGTCTCCTGGGAGGATGATGGGAGTTGTCTTCTCTCTCCTCCTGTGGAGGAATCTTTAACATTTGATTGGCAGCGTGTGTGCGCGTGGGGGGTGGTTACGCTCTGAGTTTTATTCTGCCATCTTCCCTGCAGGTATCCAACGAGCCCGGAAACCGTTACAGCATCCAGCTGATCAATGCGTTGGTCCTTTACGTCGGCACGCAGGCCATCGCGCACATCCACAACAAAGGCAGCACGCCCTCCATGAGCACCATCACCCACTCTGCCCACATGGACATCTTCCAGAACCTGGCCGTGGACCTGGACACTGAAGGTAAGCCGTCGTCGCCGCGTCTCCCTTCCCCCGTCCATAGCGGCGGCAGGTTCCTTCACGGCTGACATGCGTTTTTATCTCCTGCACAGGGCGCTACCTCTTCCTGAACGCCATCGCCAACCAGCTTCGGTACCCCAACAGCCACACGCACTACTTCAGCTGCACCATGCTGTACCTCTTCGCTGAGGCCAACACCGAGGCCATCCAGGAGCAGATCACTCGGTGAGATTCTGTGTATCACGGGGGGGGATAGTCAGGAAAGGGGCGGTGC